AAAAAAGAAAAAAATAAGTGAAATCGGCATGCAATTTTAAATTACATTCTTATATTTGTGTCAATAAACGCATGTATCTGAAATGTCAATGCATCTGTATGACCTTTCTTCTGGTTGCTCTACGTATAATAAGGCTGATGGTATGGTCTTATCTACGTGTAAAATGCTCCTCGCAAATGCACGTAACAACTTACGCAATCAATGTCTGGCAGAACAAGTCGTTTAGCCAGCACATTCTGATTTATTAAAGCGGGTGTTCCACCTTTATTTCTGGTCTTAGCTGTAATAGCTGTTTGAAGGTTATTCCGTTCTGTTCACCGGCCTGGCCATCTTAACACCTAAAGCCCTCTGGTTTCGGAGCTATACGCCCGCGAAGATATACAGACTTTTTCGTGCAGACTATTTCAAGGCCATTCAGGCATGCATGACGTCACAGAAGGGTCATTCAAATCCTGCCGTTCCGCAGGCCAGGCGGTGTTCAAGGCAACGAAGAATATTTTCGTACAGCCGTTCAGATCTGGTTTCCGTGAGCGCGGTTTCCAAACATAGTGGACATCAATTCGCCCCCAAACAATTTTAAGCCAGCTGCACAAGGTAAGATTGTAGCAAAAACTTGAGTCGGAGAAAATTTGGAGAATGGAGATATAGATGGGTTGATATTTCAATAAAGGTATGTTGATGAAATATCAACCCATCGATAGGTTTATTCTTCCGGTTTTTTTCCGAGCAATAAGGCTATTACTGCTGTCTTATCTATGTGAATAACGTTCCTCGAAAATGCACTGAACAACTCACAAGTTGCGCAAGCTTCAGTCACAAAGTACGCTTTGTGCTACTTAATTTAGGAGGTTGGACATGATTTATTCACTGGATACATATAACGAAATGAAGACTTGCAATCGGATAACTTAATAAGACAGGCCCATGGCGATATCTGGTTCAGCGAAAAAATATTGCCCGTGCTGCCATCTCTTGACGAGGTTGAAGAACTACCAGGGTCCGCAAACTTCGACGGATAGTTTGGCGGTACCTCAACGTCATCGAAACGTCCCATGAAGCAATCAGGCAATGCCGTATTGAGGAGCATGTTTACTAAATGGAAAGATTGTGCTGGCTGGAGGATCCTACCACTTAAAAGTAGATCAATAGTCATAAGTGAGATTATTTCATTTCATGCTCTGCTCGTCGCAGACGCGTCAACTCCTTGTTCCGATGCAGACCATGATGACGGCACTCCAAGACCACGGCGGCTATAGCATCCTCTCCCGGTGCCGACCTCCCTGCAGGCGGCAATGAGTAATCGGATAGTTTTTGCCGTGCAGCTGTCAGCTCTCATTGGCTGGTCGTATGAACAGAACCATAGCGGCGCCGAAACTGCCGAGTGCACCTAGCCGCTCCAGCGTGACCGACCGAGAGGTCACATGCCGCTTCTTCCTTCCGCGAGGCAGTGAACGGGGAGCGGGTGCGCGTCGCCCGCGTGGCCGCCGACGCCGACGCGGCGCGGTCCGTGCCCGCCGCCGGTCACCGCCACCGGCGCCGACGAGGCTCGGATCGGCTCGGTCCGGCCGGGTCCAGACGAAAGACGCCGTCGAGAGGCGATCCTCTTCCGTCCGCCGTGCAGAGAGGGTGCGTGTCGACGCCTGGGCCCCGTTTTTGATGGGAAAATGCTGCCAAATGCTCCGCCCCTTCAGGTAACAACCCATGTCGTTCCACAGCTACGTCATCTACGTCATGGAGATCGCTTCAATTAACTCCTCAACATGGCGGCGAGTAAAATCAGCTGTTTCCCAACAAACCCCTTTTACGCGCAGCAGAGATCATGTTGACGAGTCAGGGCAGTCAAATTACTTTGATGTACAAATATACAAATACTTCAGGCGTATCTCTCACATCTGCCTATACCATAACGACTTACATTAACGAGAATATCAGAGGCAGAGAAAGGCAGATCATCGCCCTCGACTCACAAAGACGTTTCATTATTTCTAGCGTTGCGCGAGCGTAACCACATGCAATCGATCGTCTCACGGACACGAAGTTCACCAGGCACTGGAAACTTAACGCCTTACGCCAGCTAAAATAATCTTTCATGTATATAATGTATTATATAACATGTATATAATCATCTTGTGGCGGCAGGTTATGCAGTATGTTTACATTCCAAAGCATTCTAAGCATAGACACACTTTCCCACAATCATACTGTCCAGACAAACTGTTTATGTTACGGGATCCAGAAAGTGACTATTACAGTGGCGCACTCGCAGACGTATCGGTTCTGGCCCTGCCAAAGCGCCAAGGTCGCGTAAACAGAACAGAAAATTATGTACATGACGTGGTTCCAGGACATGATGACGAAGATTTCAAATCGCAGTTTTGTATCTTCGCAAGTTTTTTCCTCAAAATATGTAGGCAAAACTGGCTCCTTATTATGACAATCATGGCCAGCGCAGAAGCAAAAGAAGCGTCCGTTGGAAGATGTGATGCCTGCGCTGCAATATCGTACCGAGCCAGTACCCCAACACTCCGTTGGCGACAAGTTTGGAACTTCAAAATCTGGGTCACACTAGTATCTGACAACATTTTGCAAGAATGCTGCTGCCGCGCGCGGTGACGCCATCGCGTGGCCAATAGGAGCGCGGCTACATGAAACTATCGCAGGCTTTGCAGCGTGCGCCGGCTACCCGGGTGTGGTTGCAGCCGTCGACGGGTCCTTTCTCTTCATGGATGCACCCAGCAAGGAGATAGCAGCTGCTCATAACGCCCACAAACATCGTCAAACAGTACATCTACTGGCTGCTTGGGATCACCGCGGCGCGCTCACTGATGTACTTGCACGGGTTCCGGGACCCGCCCACGATTCTCGTGTTTTTTTTCGGAGAAGGCCCCCCTCTGCTGCGACCTCAGGGAGCATCGGCGGCAGATTCTCCCATCTAACACACACCTCATCGAGGACAGGAGCTTTCCCTTACCCTGAAGATCATCACCCCTTCCTGAAACAACGATCACCTCAGCCCCACTCAGCGCCACTTCAACAGACCATACAAAAAACGCGTCAAAATTGAACGTGCTTTCAGCATGCTGAAAAGCAAACTGTAGCAGCTAAAACATTTAGAAGTGAAAAACATGGGCAATGTAGCTGAGGTTATTATTACATTGATCATTGCACCATGCATCAGTCATTGCATTGTGCACCATGAGCATGGGGCAGCGGATGACATGTGCCTGCAGAGCACTACGAGGCAGATCCCGTGGAACGGGCCGACATCGGTGCACTGTTGCTTTCTAGCATACAGAACCTGCTAGTGCAGTGGGTGGGCATCACAAAGCGACAGCACATCACTGACCACCTCATGGCAAAGATGTTGCATGCAGCTTGCTGCAGTTAAATGTTGTAATGTGAAGATTGAGAAAGCTAAGCGCAGATCGGAAAGAACAGCCAATTCATTACATTCAAATCAGCACAAACACACTTTGGGAAACAAACAGTTAAGGAGCAGCAGGGGGTGTCTTTGCAAGGAACATAGACTGAAAAGCGTGGAGACTCCACATCTAGAAAGACAACAATTTGTGCACACCCAGTTACTGGGATTACTTTGGGCAACATACAGTGTGGCTATTCCATTGTTTGATTGCCTAGTGCATGTCAAATCTCACCCACAGGTGTTGACATTTGGCACATTGCATTTTAAGAATTAAGTGTTCCCTGCCCCCCATAGCTGACCATTTAGGTTACATCATGAGGGTAAAACTTCGTTCAAACAATTCTTAAATACAAGATGATGACATCTATGACATGCATCAATTCTTTTAGGACTCACCCACCTTGTCAAACACAGCAGACAAAGCCATGGCCATAGTGAACGTTTCTTTGGCAAAGTATGCATATATAATCATCAAATTAGGACGATTCAATGCAATTAAGATAATGACAGGTAATAGCTTGATCAGTACAGAACACATTGCTTAAAATTATGCATATGACCTTTATCATCAATAAAAATGTTCAACTATGACAATTTATGCTCCTGTCTTGTACTTCTACATGCTTCAATACCACCAGCAATTAATCAGCGAAATTAACCTCACATCCTTTTTACTTATTAATAAGGTATGCTGAAAAGAATACCAATGCTTAATCATACCAGTGCTTAACATAAATTTTAGGTAATGTCACCATGGCACACTGTCCAGCATAGGGGTTTCAAAACTCCACCATCCCCATGTTGTTTGTAATCTGTCAGGCATGCAGTGAAGGTACATGTCATTGAATAAGTGACATAGAAAATAAGGGCAACGATATCAATAACATAACTTTCATGCAGCATAACAATCATGCTTAAAGGTAACACAACTGCAAGTTTGTTTGGTTAACCTCTACCAAACCATGTCTGTGCAGTCTGGTAATTCAAGATAATCAATCGGACCTGTGCAACAAATCAATTGACCTTACAGGAATACTTTCGCTGATAAAATGCAGTAGCACGTGGGCAAAGGAGTTAAGTAACCAATGCCTATAAGCGTGCATTTGCGATCGAATCACTAAGCAGGCAATGATGGCTGACACATTAGTGTACCTACTGCGCCTCGACCAGGTATGCTGTGGCCTGCAATCCCCGACGAACTATCATTAAGGGAAAGCAAATAAGTCTGACTAATGCATTTGTCAACGAACAGTAGTAAACCACTCTATGGCAATAGCGTAACTTAAAAATGGCAGATCTAGGGGCGTCGAGGAGGCCCTCCACGTCCACCCTACCCCATCCGCAAATGCGTCGCGGGCGTTGGTATGAGTTGCTATGTAAATAACCACGAGCTGCCGCACTTCGCCTCTCGGCCAAGTAAGGAATGAACTTGGGCCGTGACGTCATAGGTAAGTCGGTAGTTATGTCATCCATCGACCGGGCTTACCCGAAGTAAGGAACGGGCTTCCATTGGGTCAGAAGAACGGGGCCCTGGTCTCACAGCCAGGTCTGACCCTTACGCTGTGCTGCCTTACAGACATAGGCCACGCGAGAACATGAATGGTACGATACAACAGACGCAACTGCGTCGCCACATTAGACGGAGTGGCATAAAAACCGACTCGGAAGAGCGGTTCCAACAGACATGTCAGGCCCCGCGCCAGGGGACGCACCACCAAACGCACCGCCATCAAACCAGAGCTGCTTCAATACCAGAGCCTGTAATTAAACAATTTCAGCTCTAGTACGGACCAAATTCCCGACACAGCACCGACTTCAGGTTCCAAACAGCATTTATGTCCTCTTCTGAAAGCGCACCCATCACTGCAATCCGCACGCCGGGGCCGAGAAGCGCCTTCCCCACAGCTTTCTTATCATCCCCCACCCCCAGCCGATATGTATACGACCGTCAGAAGAAGTATTCCAGCTCTTCTCCACCACTCCTCGCGAGTCTCACCCTGGACTCAATTTCGCATGCCCCCACTCGGTGTCACGCGCCGTGACAAACACGCGCTCTCGCCGGCGTCAGAAAACGGCCGTCCCAGTGACCGTTGACCGTGGCGGCCGGCCGGCCCACGGCTCCGGCGGTGGCTGCAGAGGCGGGCCCAGGTGAGCCCGTTAGTAACGCGCTATATTGCAATATGGGGAGGGGCCTTCCTTGTTAACTTCCCACTGCCTGTGAGTTTGTTTCATCGTATCTGATGCATTCTGTCATGTTTTCAAGTCTGGAGCATTCCTTTTAAAAGTCGATAACTCAGCATAACTTCGTACTCAGGTATGATCATTAAAGTTTTGTTTTTCATGTCGGTCGTGATTTTTTATTTCATTATTTCAAATGCGCACTGTTGCTTCGTGAGTTAGTAAAAACATGCAGGAGCGAGGTATCCGCTACGATCGCTTATATCACGTGAATATCATTGGCAAGCTCGAGAAAATTGAAAAGTAGATCGAGCAATTGTGAATGGTCGCCACTAAGAAAGATTTTAAAGAGAATTTGATGTTGTGCGAAAGGAATAGGTATTCACGGCATTTCGCTATTGCTTAAGTTTGTTGCACTCAATACCAGTGTTTGCCCTAATGTGGATAATTGCACGGCTACGAGCAGGGACGGGGCGATGCAAATATGTGTGATTTTGGGTGAGTATATACTGTGTCCAGCTCGCAGACAAGCCAACACCTTCTTCTCCAAAAGGCCTTTACGATACATTGATGGCTAAAGTGTCATGCAGAAATTTATGTCATGGAGCAGCGTTCTAGTGTCGTTTGTCCATTGTCGCAGTCAAACATGTCTTATCATTGTCAGAGTTGAAGACGAATACATTTAGAACGAACGGGGATTTATGTGATGTTAAAGGATCAAAGCTTCTTGAGTCAATGAACCTGCCCGTTTCATTCCCATGATGTTTATATAACCTGGAATACACAGAAAATATAATACAAGATTTAATGACCAATGTCATGTCTTGTGAGTGTAATATACGGTATATGTAAGTAATATATGAATGTCCTGTGAGAGTAATATATGATGCAGATTGATGAGGTGGACACGGAAGTGGGGAGTAACGTCTGGGTAGAAAAGCGATTTTACATCTGCCATGTAGCCCGGACAGATCGCAATTGTGCTCGGGGAATGAATGTGCTGCTGACGATGTTGAAACGCAAGGAGAAGAGCAAGCAGCTCTACCAAGTAAACGGAGGTGCCATTTGATAACCGACAGTTTTTAAAGCAACCTCCGTAATAAATAAATGAACATTCAGGGTGGTCATTCAACCTAAAACCATCGGTGTACACAACACAATTCTTTGAATGAATGCCAATCGGATTATTCAACGTTTGTTAAATATAATCTGTTGTGACGAACAGTTTGAGATCTTTAGGAAGGTGCTCGGATGTCACTTATAGTGCTACAATAGACTGAGTTTGTTTGTTGTGTGTTTCTTTGCGAGCCTGCGGCACTTTTGTTGCACATCGCAAAATGTATACCTTTCGTCGGATAGCTAGGAACATAACGTGGGCGTTCATTCCAAGCGCTGAAATTGAAGACGCACGCAATACTTCTTGTGTAATCCTCAATAACGTGTTTTGGATGGTAGCCAGAGGCCGAAGAGCGTGTTCATTGTTCCCCTGCATAAGCCATGGAGCCGTATTTAATGATTAGAGCCAAAATGTATGTAAACGTGCTTAAGTGTGGCGGTCGGCACCGTACAGTGACCCAGAGATGCGGCGGACGAAATTCAGTGTTTTGAAGCGTTTGGAACACATGCTCCACGCACGTCGGCACTGAATCTTAGGGCAAGTGCGATACCGATGAGCTTAAAAACAAAACAGAGAGTATAATCTGATCCAACAATGACTGAAAAGTGCACAACATGTGGCATACCCCGAAAATGCAAATGACGTTTGCCACAGGCGGCTCAGATAAATTCGCATGCTGGAAACGCAAGAATACCTTTGTCAGAGCCGCATAACTCCAGGAAATCATTTTATTAAAATGCAGCTGCAGAAATATTCCTTCCTGCTCATGGAATTTCGCCTCCCCAGTGAAAATAATGTTGAAGTGACCGAACAATCTTGGGCAGCTGGAAAGCCGCACTTGCCGAATGACAAAGGTGAGTCGAACCGGTAAGATTGTGCATCGGTGAGAAACAGCCGTAGATATATATATATATATATATATATATATATATATATATATATATATATGGCATTGCAGCCATGACATTTCATCACTTCCAAAACTTGTTACGTTAATTATTAGCGGACAAGACCTCCACATCTACCAGCCCCCTGCCCCATCGGTCACTGGATTTGCTTCCCAGCAAAAGTTCCTGAATATACCATCAGCCTGGCCCCCACTTTCTGAAGTGTTCCAACGCCTATGCCTGTGCACATCCAACATCCTATATAATCATGACCCGGCTTAAGGGTCACATTAAGCTAAACTTCTATGGGGCTGGAGTGTGCCAGGTCATTCCGTGCGAATTCGTCAACACAGCCTGCGGCACTGGGGGCCGCTCGTTCACTGGAAACCTGACCGTGAACGTTTACCAGTGGTAAGCGGGCGACCTATAAAAGGGAAAGGAGCTCAAAAGTAGGCACCACTTGCACTGCACACCGGCCATCAGAACACACCATGCAGGTGAGGGCTGGAATGATCCGGTTGGTATGGTGTCCTGCTGACTGCTGGAGCGATTATTTTTTAGCGATGTGAACTGCAGTTAAAGAATGGAGAAATGTATTACATGGGTACTGAGGTTATCAGATTGATCTCAGCAAAACATGCACTTGTAAAATGGCTGCCGCTTCCGTGAAAAGCCCCCTATGTCATTGCAGGGTTTCATCGTTGCCGCCGTGCTGGCTGTCGCCGCCGCCGCCCCGGCGCCGGAGACGCCGGGCTACAAGCCCGCTCCGGCCTCCTACCACCCGGCTTCCTCCTACAAGCCGGCTTCTTACCACCCGGAGCCCCAGTACAAGGAGGAGGTCAAGCCGTTCGCTTACGAGTACGCCGTCAACGACGACTACACCGGTACCAACTTCGCCAAGAGGGAGGAGAGCGATGGCCACAACACACAGGGATATTACTCGGTGGCTCTGCCCGACGGCCGTATCCAGCACGTCAACTACGTCGTCGACAACTACGGCGACTACAGCGCTGAGGTCACCTACGAGGGAGAGGCCCACTACCCGGAGTACCACCCCGCCCCTGCCTACAAGACTGCTGCCCCGGCTTACAAGCCTACCTACAACCATCCCGCTCCGGCCTACAAGCCTGTCCACAAACCCGTTTACAGCTCTCCCGCTCCGGCCCACAAGCCTGTCCACAATGCTGGCTACCGCCATCCAGCCCCTGCCTACAACGTTGCTGTTCCGGCCTACAAGCCTATCCACAAGCCCGTTTACAGCTCTCCCGCTCCGGCCCACAAGACTGTCCACAAGTCTGGCTACAGCCATCCAGCCCCTGCCTACAAGGTTGCTGTTCCGGCCTACAAGCCTGTCCATAAGCCCGTTTACAGCTCTCCCGCCCCGGCCCACAAGCCTGTCCACAAGTCTGGCTACAGCCATCCAGCCCCTGCCTACAACGTTGCTGTTCCGGCCTACAAGCCTGTCCACAAGCCCGTTTACAGCTCTCCCGCCCCGGCCCACAAGCCTGCCCATAATTCTGGCTACAGCCATCCCGCCCCTGCCTACAAGGTTGCTGCTCCGGCCTATGAGCCTGTCCACAAGACCGTATACAGCTCTCCCGCCCCGGCTTTCAAGCCAGCGACGTACTAGTCACAGGGTGAGAACGGTTCCTGATGTTATTTTCTTACTGTGTAGGTTACGGCACTTGTCGCTTCCTCACCAGCTGCATTTTAATAAAATGACTTGTTTGACTTATGCGGCTCTGACAAAAGTATTCTTGCGTTTCCAGCATGCAAATTTATCTGATACGGCTGTGGCAAACGTCATTTGCATTTTTGGGAGTACGCCACATTTTGCGCACTTTTCAGTTATTGTTGGATCAGATTTTACTCTTTTTGTTCTATTTTTTAAGCTAATCGGTACCGCACTTGCCCTAAGATTCAGTGTCAACATGCGTGGAGCATGTTCGTTCCAAACGCTTCAAAACACTGAATTTCGTCCGTCGCATCTCTGGGCCACGGAACGGTGTCGACCGCGACACTTAAGTAGGTTTACATACATTTTTGGCTCTTATCATTAAATACGGCTCCACGGCATATGCGGGGGAGCAATGAGCACGTCCTTCGGCCTCTGGCTACCATCCAAAACACGTTATTGCGGATTACACAAGAAGTATTGCGTGCGTCTCCAATTTCAGCGCTTGGAATGAACGCCCACGTTCTGCTTTTAGCCATCCGACGCAAGGTATACATTTTCGATGCCTGACAAAAGTGCTGCAGACTAGCAAACAAACAACAAACAAACTCAGTCTATTGTAGCACTGTTAGTTATTTTCAAACACCTTCCTAAAGATTTCAAACTGCTCGTCACAACATCTTATATTTAACAAACGTTGCATAATACAACTGTCATTCATTCAAATAACTGTATTTTGTACACCGATGGTTCTAGGTGTAGTGACCACCCTGAATGTTCAGTAATTTATTGCAAAGGTTGGTTTAAAGACTGACGGTTATTGAATGGCACCTCCATTAACTCCGCAGAGCTGCTTGCTCTTCTTCTTGCGTTTCAACATCGTCATCAACACATTCATCCTCTGAGCGCAATTGAGATCTGTTCGGGTTACAAGGCAGATGTAAAGTCGCCTAACTACCCAGACGTTACTCCCCACTTCCTTGTCCACATCATCAATCTGCATCATATATTACTCTCACAGGACATGCATATTTACTTACATATCATATGTTATATTCACAAGACATGACATTAGTCATTAATTTTGGTAACCGATTTTCTGTGGATTCCAGGTTATAGAAGCATCATGGGATTTAAGTAGGCAAGCCCATTGGCTCAAGAAGCTTTGGTCCTTTCACATCACATAAATTTCCGTTCATTCTAAATATATTCGTCTTTAACTCGGACAACGATAACACATTTTTGACTACAACAATGGACAAACAACACCAGAACGCAGCTTCATAGCATAAATTACGACATGACACTTGTATCGCCTTGTGCTTGGCCATCGATGTATCATAAAAGCCGTTTGAAGGAAGAGTTGGCTTTTCTGCGAGCTGGACACAGTATATACTCACCCAGAATCACACATATTTGCATCGCCCTCGTCCCTGCTCGCAGCCGTGCGATTATCCACTTTGGGGCTAACATTGCTATGAAGTGCAACAAGTTTAAGCAATAGCGAAATGCCGTGGAGAGCCATTTTCTTTGGCGCAGCATCAGATTCTCTTAAAGATCTTTCCTGGTGACGACCATTCACAATTGCTTCATCTACTTTTCAGCTTTCTCAAGCTCACCAATCCGCTTGAGACGATGTGAACGATCATAACGGATATCTCGTTCTTGCATGTTTTTCTCTAACTCACGAAGCAACAATGTGTTTTTGAAATAACGAAATTGAAACAACGACAGAGATTAAAAACAAATTTTCATGGTCATATGAGTGTAAAGTTATGCTGAAATTATCGACCATTGAAACGCAATGCTCCACACTTGAAAATATTGAAGCAGGCATCAGATACGATGAAACCAACTCACAGGCAGTGGGAAGTTAACAAGCAAGAACATCACAACATTGCGATAATGGTGCGTTACTAGTTCGTTTACCAATACAGCGAATTACTAGTGAGCTTACCTGGGCTCGCCTCTGCGACCACCCGCCGGAGCCGTGGGCCGGCCGGCCGCCACGGGCAGCGGTCACTGGGACGGCCGTTTTCTGACGCCGGCGAGAGGGCGTGTTTGTCACAGCGAGTGACGGCGAGTGGAAGCATGCGAAATTGAGTCCAGGGTGAATTCGCGTGGGTTGGTGGAGAAGAGCTGGAAAACTTCTTCTGACGGTTGGATACATATCGGCTGGGGTTGGGGGATGAGACGACATCTGTGGGGAAGGCGCTTCTTGGCCTCGGCACGCGGATTGCGGTGATGGATGCGCTTTCAGAAGAGGACAGAAATGCTGTTTGGAACCTGAAGTCGGTGCTGCGTCGGGAATTTGCTCCGCACTATAGCTGGAATTGTTGAATACAGGCTCTCGTATTGAAGTAGCTCTGGTGCAGTGCACTTGCTTGATCACCGACGCATGCAACCCTCCGAGATATAAGGTACGTTTCTTTCCAACTTTGATTTTTGTTTGGTGGTGCGTCCCCTGGCTCGGGGCCTGACACGTCTGTTGGAGCCGCTCTCTTGAGTCGGTTTTTTATGCCACTCTGTCCGAGTTGGCAGCGCAGTTACGTCTGTTGTATTGCACCATTCATGTCCTGGCGTGGGCCGTGTCTGAAGGCGGCACAACGTGAGGATGGGTCAGACCTGCCTGTAACACCATGCGTCGGCACTCACCCTATCTGGACGGCGGACGGCAAAGCGCTCGTCGGATCGCCTCTCGACAGCGTCTCCCACCTGGTGCGGCCGGACCGAGCCGCTCCGAGCCTCGTCGGCGGCCGGCGGCGGGCATGGACCGCGCCGCGACGGCGTCGGCGGCCACGCGGGCAGTGCGCGCCCGCTCCCCGTCCCCTGTCTCGCGGAAGGGAGAAGTGGTATGTGACCTTTCGGTCGGTCACGCTGGAGCAGATCGCTGCACTTGGCCGTCTCGGCGCCGCTATGATTCTGTTCACACCAGCAGACAATGGGAGCTCACAGCTGCACGGCAAAAGCTGTGTGATTACTCATTGCCGCCTGCAGGGAGGTCGGCGCAGGGAGAGGGTGTTATAGCCGCCGTGATCTCGGAGTACCGTCATCATGGTCTGCAGCGGAACAAGGAACTGACGCGTCCGGGACGAACCGGGCATAAAATGAAGTTATGTAACTTATAACTATTGATCTGCTTATAAGTGGGAAGGATCCTCTAGGCAGCACAATTTCTCCATTTAGTAAACATGCTCCTTAATACGGCAGTGTTTGATTGCGTCATGGAACGTTTGTATGGCGTTGTCGCGCCACCAAACCATCCGTCGAAATTTGCAGTTACTTGTAGTACTTCAAGCTCGGGAAGAGATGGCAGTACGGGCAATAATTGTCTAGCTAACCCATTGTCCTTCTGGGCTCGTCATATTAAGTTATTCGATTGCAAGTCCTAGTTTTGTGATAGCTAGCCGGTAAAGAAACCACATCCAACTTCCTAAATTAAGAGGTACAAAGCGTTCTTTGCGATTGAAGCTTGTGCAGCTTGTAAGCTGTTAAGTGCATTTTCGAGTGACATTATTCACCTAGATAAGACAGTAGTAATAGCCTTATTCCCCGGAGAAATGCCGGGAGAATGAAAATATCGATGGGTTGATATTTTGGCAACATGCCTTCATCGAAATATGAAACCATCTACATCTCCATTCTCCTGATTTTTCTCTGAGGAATGAGACTATTACTACTGCCTTATTCTGCGCAGCTAGCTTACAATTGTTTGAGAGCGAAATGACGTCCATTTTATTTGGAAACCGCGATCACGGACTGTAGACAGGTCCGAACGGCTGCACAATAATATTCTTCTTCGCCTTGAACACCGCCTGGCCTGTGGGGCGGCAGGAATTGAATGACCATTTTATGACGTCATGCATGCCTGAATGGCTTTGAAATAGTCTGCACGAAAAAGTCTGCATATCTTCGCGGGCGTATAGCTCAGAAACCAGAGGTCTTTGGGTGCGGGCAGAAGGTCAGGGCCGCGAACTGCATCGAATAATCTATAAAACAGCTATTTCAGCCAAGACCAGAAATGAAGATGGAACGCTCCCTTTAATATATCAAAATGTGATGGCTTAAAAACTTTTTCTGGCAGGCATTGATTGCGTAAGCTGTAAAGTGCATTTGCGAGGAACATTTAACAAATAGATAAGACAGTATCATTAGCCTTATTCTACTTAGAGTAACCGGGACAAAGAAGATATAGGTGCATTGATATTTCAGCTACATGGGTGTATGGGAACAGACATTAGTAGTGAATTCAAAATTCCACGCTAATTCCATTTGATTTTTTTTTAAACAGCGAGTCAGATTTTTTACAACTCACCAACATTCAGTGTAAGGAGCATTGCCAACCATCATCGCGATGCAGTGTATATCCAACTTCGGATTAAAATGCGCGAAAAATATCTGCACGCAAACGAATTCAGATAAACAGGTATCATGCATCACACATCACTCATACATGCAAACAATTTCAAGTGAATAGGCCCCAAGCATCACGCATCAGACATCGCACATACATATTAACGATTTTAAGCTAGTACGCATCTAACGCACTACGCACAGTACGCACTAACATTTTGAAGATGATTTAGTACAGCTCGCATGCTGCCCCTTACATCCTTATCCACTCTATTTTCTGACCTATACGCCCGCGATGATGTGCTCAGTATTTTGGGTGAAACTGTGTCGGGGTAGCCCGGGCATCCATGATATCATTATTTTTTTCCTTTCAGCTTGCTTTCCACTCCAGAAAACAACTTCGGGGTGTGGGTCAGCTTGACCTCCACCCGAGCGCGTGCGAATGTATGGGTCTAAAATAGGTCCGAAATGATAGCATGCATGTGCAATAGCTCAACACGCGCTTGGGTCGGAGCCACTTTGACCCCCCAAGGTTTTCCAGAATGGTTTTCGAGCGGCGCGGCAAACGGGTGCCACATTTTGCATAGCTGTGTTAGATTGAATGGTAGATCGATTGCTATCAAATATTGAAATGCATTTAGATGGATGAGCAATGTATTATAGTGGGCTTTTCAGACTGGATCACTAGCTGGGCGGGGCGGGCTGGGCTGCGGGCTGATATACTGGAGAACCTTGCGTCTCTTATCCGTATATTTGAGACCATGAGACCATAATCCTTCAGAAGGGCTGCTCGATGTTGGAGTCGTACAGCAGCATTTCCTCAACACATTTGTACATCATCTCAGCGCCACCAGTGAAGTCATCACGCTCGGTTGCAGCTCTGCCTGGTCGTGTGATGCGTGTGAGGTGTGGGTTTCTTTCCGCGATGTGATGCCTAATTGGTGACGACTGGTGTTCCAAAAGTCCTTTCCCACTCCATTTTAGTCCGGTGTATTTTCCGCACGCCTTTTCTGTCAACTCAAACTGGGGTCGGCTCGGCACCATGACTTTTGTGGAACTCATTGGCTGTGCGTCCCCGTGACGTGTGTGACGTACGCAGTGGCGGCCCGGACAACCCAGACAATTGCGGTGAGGCTGAGTGCTGGGAACGTTGTGTCAGTCTCACACCTTTCTGCCTGGAACGGGCGTGGAGTTGTTACAGAAAAGAGCAAACGAATTGTTCTTCATTCCAATCAGGTTATCGCGTGGTAGGAAAATTTGAAAAAATCAAGCACGTGATACCCGTCTTCGAGGAAATTTGGGCACAACCGTTACCAAACACAACTTGCTTGGATCAGAAAAAAGTTAGACTAGGTACAAATCACTTGTCAGCGTAACCATCATGACGGCTTTTTTCTTACAACTGATGAAAAGGTGGCTCATCGCACCAAACGATCTAGGTGCCCGGAAACCAGGAGGAGCGGGGAACAAAGCCCCTCTTCCAAGTTTCTGAATATTTAGCATGGTTCCTCTTCCGTGATCTGACTAAAATGGCCCTCTCACCCACGCATCCACGTCCTAACTTAGAACACCCACTGGGACCGCATCAATATGCCATGCAAAGGCCAATTCCTTAACACAGTCGCGTCAATGAAATTATCCCACTGGAAAACGCATGATCGCTTCAGTCAACACCACGTGGTCCATAGTTCACAGTTTGTTAGTCCAGATCGTAGTCCCTTGTATTGAAATACGGCTGGTCGAAAATCATCACAACACAACACTCATGCATTTAAAAAGGAAGTCATTCTCAGTGGTTGACTAGTATGCTGCAGCCTTGTATGCCGGGGTGGGAGAGCTGTAAGCAGGCTTGTAAACGGGCTTGTAGACTGGGGCAGCAGCCTTGTAGGCCGGAGCGGCAGCCCTGTAGGCCGGAGCGGCAGCCCTGTAGGCAGGAGCAGCAGCCTTGTAGGCCGGAGCGGCAGCCCTGTAGGCCGGAGCAGCAGCCTTGTAGGCCGGAGCGGCAGCCTGGTAGGACGGAGCGGCAGCCTTGTAGGCAGGAGCGGCAGCCTGGTAGGACGGAGCGGCAGCCCTGTGGGCAGGGGCGGCAGCCTTGTAGGCAGGGGCGGCAGCCTGGTAGGACGGAGCGGCAGCCCTGTAGGCAGGAGCGGCAGCCTTGTAGGCAGGGGCGGCAGCCTGGTAGGACGGAGCGGCAGCCTTGTAGGCAGGAGCGGGGTGGTACTCGGGGTACTGGGCCTCCCCCTCGTAGGTGACCTCAGCGTTGTAGCCGCCGTAGTTGTCGGCGACGTACTTAACGTGCTGGACACGGCCGTCGGGCAAAGCCACCGAGTAATATCCCTGGGTATTGTGGCCATCGCTCGCCTCCGTCTTGGCGAAATTGGTACCAGTGTAGTGGTCGTTGACGGTGTAGTCGTAAGCGAACGGCTTGGCCGCCTCCTTGAACTGGGCCTCCGAGTGGTAAGAGGCCGGCTTGTACGAGGGTGCCGGGTGGTAGGGGGCCGGAGTGGGCTGGTAGCCCGGCGTCTCCGGTGCCGGGGCGGCGGCGGCGACAGCCAGCACGGTGGCAATGACGAGGCCCTGCAATGCAGTGAGAGGACGCGTGACGGGTGAAGCAGCCAATTCAGCAGAGCTGTTTTGCACGATATAGACTAAAACCTCGCTATCTGTGCAATGCATACCACATTGCTAAGCCTGGAGCGTACTTGGCTTGAAATAAACTTTCCAGTAGCCAACAGGGCACCATATCCATGGTATTCCTCCATCACATACCTGCATGGTGTGTTCTGATAGCCGGGTGTGCAGTACAAGTGATGCCTGCTCCCTTGGTGCTTTCGTTTTTATAGGTCGGCTGCTAACCACTGATAGACGGTCACGGTCAGATTCCAGTGAACGGACGCCTCCAAAGGTGCCACCGGCTGCGCTGACGAATTCGCACGGAATTCCTGGTACACGCCCACCTCCTAGAAGTAGACCATGATGTCACACATGAAGCTGCACATGGACACGCCATTTAATTTCTGCGGGTGAGTCGGAAGACAAATGGCCTGGAACATATAGCTTATGACACAGCAGGTTCGTATCGATCTTTTTTGGCCTTGCCCTGAACCCAGGATAGTCATGGCAACTATTTGGAATCCTTTATTGAAGAAATTTATGCGTTCCTCCCATCCCCAGCTGACAGCATTTCTGGTCTTTTCCTTTCCTCACTTTGGCCTCATCACATCGCGTTCAGTTAGTTACAGTTTTGGCCGTAATTCATCCGAAAGTAATGATAAAGTCGGTCGTTAAGCGACGAGCGCTGACCTCCGATGACCGCACCCTTGACGGCGGACTTTGTCCCTATTTTTGTGTGTTCAAGGTCTTAATTTGTATTCTTTGGTTGAACAACAGTGTTGTGCACAAAAAATTGTGAAAATTCTGCGATGAGTCGGAAGCTAAATGGCCTAGAACATATAGCTTATGACTCAGCAGGTTCGTGCCAATCTTCGTTTTTTTTTTACTTGTCCTGAACCCAAGGCGATCATGCCAACGACTTCGAATCATTCGTTTGAGATATTTCTACTTGTCTCCCATCCCTAGCTGATAGCAGTTTTGGCTCCGTCCGAATCCCGCTTTGGCTGCATCATATCGCATCCAAATCCCTACCTATTCGGTTTATTCATCCGAAAATGACTAAAAAGTGGGTTAAGTCCACGGAAAAACCGAAACATGCAAGCATAGTTGTTTTATGGAGGTATGAGACTGAATGTTTCAGATCCCTCATGTCATTAGGATCCCCCCCCCCCCTCCCTCCCACCACATGGCAATCTTAAGAAAGGCACAGGTGGAAACAAAAACTAGACGGTAAGGCCGATACATGCATGCGTATACCTTGTTTCGAAGCATTCTTTAAAGATAAGTAAGCTATCAATGGACTTTTACAGACATGAATCATGTCATACTAAAACGCACCGATTCCACACATGAACTTACGTCATTTCAAACGCGGATTAGTTTGCCTTATACATCACTAGGTTTTAAATGGTAGTAAACGCATATGATGTAGGCTAAATCTAGATTCTACCCAATAATTCTTACTCAAGGCCAAGGTCAAAGCCTCAAAACTCAGCCTTTCCGTGTTGTCCAAGTTTTTGGTACGTAGGTAAGCCATCTTTCTCATCATGGGTAAATCATAATGTGGTACAACTAAAATGTTTTAACGCGATAGGCGATAGCATCATGAAATAGTGGCAAGCAAAGTCCGGTCGTTTCCTAGATTAGTTCAGGTTATAGAATGCTTTGAAATGTGACGCCAGAAACTTTGTTGTTGAAAATGGCATCACCAACTGATATGATCACTTACCTCCAATAGTTCGTGAAATGGACCACGAAGTTCGGTTAGGAAGCGCTTTAAAAGGATGTTAATGGAAACGCCTTTACCAGAAAAGACAGGAACAAGAAAGGAATGAATGCATGCACCTCTTATGATACTTGCACCGTAAAGATGCTGATATAAGCAAGGTAAAACCGTCCGGTGATTCTCGCTTCATCTTCGGTTAACATACTCTAGGTAGGTCGAGGGCGGAAAACAGCAGCCTTGTATCGGCTCACAAAAAAATGTGTGACGTCACTGATGCTAAGTCTTGCGTGCGTGTCGGGCGGCTGGACTCTGCACGCATTGCGGATGGGCAAACAGAAACTAGAAATATTTGGGTAGAAAGTGAAAAGGCCGTGAGAGGAATGTGCATATGGCCAACGAGCCAACAACGTAGAAGAACTTAGTGGCGAATACGATGATGGGCTTTTCTTCTCCAGAGATAAATATTTTATTGTGCAGTGACACGAAAAGTAAATACTCATACACAAGTCTTATTTGCAAAATGGCGGCAGAAACAATGGGCTGCTTCGTGCCCATGCCGAATAAACTTAGTGGCAGACGTGTGTGACCTGCGAGCCGATTGTCTATGAGCTAATGACAAGTTTGATTAACTGCGCGACAACCTTAAGCGGCAAACAATTCTAACGCAGTTAGAACTTGTAAGAGAACGTAGCGCGTACTCCCCTCCACTCATCCAAAAACCGACTGGCGGCTGCGAGCGCCGGATCCCTGCCGCCGCCTCAGCGAAAGACCCTTGACCCCCGGCGGATCGGGAGACCCGCGGTCACGTGACGCCCCCCGGCACCTAGTCAGATGTAGAGCTCGGAAGACAGCGAGGGCGAGGGCACACACCCCGCACAATCACACCATAGAACTTAAACGCGTGGTGACGGCGACGGCGGTGCGAGGGAGTGGCGATCGTGGCGGGTTTTTTTATCTGCTGTATTTAATTGTGTCTGCGGTAGGGCATCTGTGACATTGTCGATGAGGGTGGTACCAATGATGGAGGTATGAGGCTGAATGCTTGGGATCGCTCATGTCAGTAAAATGCCCCCCCCCCCCCTCCCCTCCCACACGACATTCCTTAGAGGCAAAGGCATAAACGGAAACTGGCCGGCCAGGCACATGAATGCATGCGCATTCCTTGTTTCAAAGCATGTTCTAAGCAAATTAAGCTATCAATTGATTTTTACAAATATGAACCATCTCCTACCAAAATGCATCGATGCCTCGCATATTGGCATATGCCATTCAAAATGCAGATTGTGTTGCCGCATACACAACTAGGCTTTAAACAGCAGCATACGGATATGATGTGGGCCAAATCTAGGTTCTACAAAATAAGCATTACTTCAAGCTAAAGCCACAGCCCCAACGCCTCAAAACTTAGGCTTTTCATGTTGAGGCACCTTTAAATATATTGGCGCCGGAAACATGATAGTATAATTGTGGCAAAACCGTCCGGTGATTCTCGCTTCATCTTCGTTTAGCTCGAGGTCCGTCGAGAGAAGAAGACAGCATCCTTGCATCGGCCTACAAAAAGTTAGCGCGACGTCACTGGTGCCAAGTCTTCAATGCACGTCGAGCCGCTGGAGTTTAGACATAATGCTGTTCGTCTTTCTTAGGAAGATTCACATGACCAGCGAGCCAGTAGCGTAGAATTATGCAGCGAATACAATGATGGGCTTCACTTCCTTAGGCGGTATTCTAATAGTACTCAATGGCATGAAAAGTGAGTGCTCATGCAGAAGCTTTATTCCCAAAAGGGATGCAAGAACGACTGGGTGCTTCGTGCCCATAGCTAACAAACGTTGTGGCCGACGTATGTGACGAGCGAGCCGATTGCTTATAATTTAACGACGAGTTTGACTAATTGAGTGACAACCTTAAACCGCAAGCAATTATAATGCAATTCAACCTTACGCGAGTCGTGACGCCGACTGTGGTGCGAGGGAGTAGCGATCGGGGCAAGTTTTTTTTTGGCCTGCTGAATTTCATTTTGTATGCGATGAAATATCCCAGTTAAATTGTTGGCAAGTGGAGTACGTGGAGCAGGTTACATATTTTCATTCATCGCTGGACTGTTAGTATTTTTATTACATAAACGTTTACATTATTTAGCTATTTAGAGCCACTAATGCCTACACCTTGAAGCAGATTTTATATTACAGTAAATTGTGTTATGTATAGCAGCCTTTTGCTTCCAAAAAGCTTTAGAAGTGAGATGTTCGTTTCATATTTCATGCCTGCCTGGATGCCTTCAGATGTGGAACAGTCATTTCGATGGGCGCAAAAGTCGCATGGCGGAAGTGGAGCGTGCTTAGGGTTGTCGCTAACGGTCCGTGCCAATTCATGGAACGAGCTGCGCAGACAACTTTATTGTCAATTTTGGTACGTGGCTCATACTATTAGGCTATATGTACATGCCGTTGATGGTGGCGTAAGCGGCGCACCATCCCCAGGGTGCCACATCCACTGTATGCTGTGCTGGATCAAGCGGTGCGTGCTGCTGATTTGCCAAGAAAAAAGTTACTTTTTCCTTCTAAGATCAAGGTACTTTAGAGCAATACCATGTTTTAGCACATACATATCCAAAACAAGAGAAGCGTTGGAAGTCTTGTAGACATAACATATGAAGAGCAGCACTGAGAGCGGATCTTTGAAATAAGAATGAACAGACAATCATTCACTCATCCTCATGCTTCGTGTGCTTTCGTCCCTGGGGTCTATCATTACATTTCGATCTGCTGAGCTTGGCTTAATGTAGGCCTGACAAGCTGTTCCGAACGGCGTCATCTTCTAAAACTCATCTTTGTTACGGTCCTAGCCTTTTCGTCCTTCCATTCTATCCAATTGCAATTTGTCTTCTCTTGCCCATCCTTCCTTAATATCGTCTCAGTGCATCATCGCGGTGAGGTACTTCATATCTACCAGTGTGTGCCAAAGTGAAGCCATTCATCACTGTTGATGACTTCTGTGCACTCTAGAAAGTTAGACCTTTCTTTGGGTACACGTTTTTTTTCAAAGACAGCATGCAGAGGACTTTCTGTCCGGACACAAATGCAGCTTGGTATATTTGACTCTCGTCGTTCTCCAAACTCATTTGGCAATTAACATTGGTCTGTATTGTCAACATTGGTCTGTTGCAAATCTGTATTGATTTGATCGTGATCGACCAATAACGTCTTAAATAGCTGTACACCAACGCAAAGAGCAGCAACCGGTCACTCCGTGTATCCTGAAAAATTGTTCATTTAAAGGAATAAAAATGCATATGCTTGCCGCATAGGCACATGTTTTTTATAATCCCGTACCTCAAGAAGATCAGGTTTAAGTATTTTCTGTTCATCACAATATTGTCGGGGCACATACGTGTGCACCCCTGATGTTAATAAAGGGAGGGAGCGGTTCAACAAAT